TAAGAAGGAAGGACGTTATATATGTCTGGCTGCAATTAATTCATATCTATGCTCACTTTGGTGAGTTATATGTCACTCCAAAGTTGAAACATGTGTCTGCCTGTTCGTTTATATTTGTATCAATACAGGGGAAAGAAATGTCATAATGCACATATCTCTTTCTCGACTATTTAAATTGTCGATCATGAAAATGGCCGATTTTCACACGTTTCGTGTCTATATAAACGTTAGAGACAAATGGCCGTTCGCGTGGTCTCGCACCGGTGATTCTGAGAAATTAAAATGGCCGACTTGAGTACTCTTCGTGTCATTCGCGTCTGTAATGGTGCATGACGCGATAATAATTAGAGACAGTATACCAATGGTGACTTGACACAGTGTTATGGCTCCTGTTCGCGGCTGAGACAACGACGGTCGTTTTATCGCGTCGGGACGTACTTATGCATCTCGCGATTTCTATAGACCTGTGAAACTGCATAACTGCGATGTCACTGAGAATGCATTACTAAAACTATCGGGCTTCGTTTTGATAACGACAGTGACAAGCGTTTTACGCTCGGGGATATATCTGTGCAGTTTTCGCGTTGATTGGCCGATGTCGTTCCTTCGGCTGCCTGTCGCGAGACTTAAGTTTAAGTTTATTTTGTGAACTTGATGTGCATATGACATTATTGAGACTGCACTTATCGTGCGTGCATCTTATCCTTTGGGCCTTATCATACTGGCTCGACACATGAACACATTCACATAAAACACTTTACAATAAGGTTATCTCTTTGCCTTGACTCTTTTAAAACTCTAAACTCTTATACTATTTCACACTTAATAATTCAACGAGACCTTAGTCTCTATTATATTCATACGCTCTTGAAGCTTTATCTATTTAATATGTTCTTGCGTGCGAGATAATTCTATTGTATATTTAATATTAAGTTAGTTTTATGGTAGTTAACTTTTCATACCGCGTGTTATTGTAGAGATTTTAACCTCTTATTCTCCTAGATGCTCTGTAAGCTTTTTTTTCGCGGGATAATTCTATACCTTATATATAATATTAATCTAGTACAACAGTTTTGTTTCATTATATTCTAATGTTATTGATTTATGCATATATATATAGGAATCTGCGTATTACAATGTGCAATGTGTTCTTCATACTGCGACCGTTCGTTTCAATAACATATTGCAATACGATGGGTGATCGAACAAATTTAAGTAGTTGTCTCTGTGATTGTCATAGTTGTTTAGTCTTTGTGACTGTATTGTGTTTTTTCCTGTCAATTACTTATTGCAGAGCATATGCATTCATGATTGTGAGTCTATAATAAAGAATGAATCAGGAAGTGATGTGACGGTGTACATATACTGTTTATTTATGACTCTCCTTTCCTCTATCCTACATAACCTATATGGAGCGTCAGACTGGAGTGGCTAGTGTAAGCTGAATTCGTATTTGCAGCATTATATTAAACTGCAATAGCTATATATATCTTATCTGACATCTCTGTGCACTTATAGTTTTTATATAGAGTTAATATAATGATATACTAAAATTCATATTCTGACACAGAGTGGTGTCAATGTTATATAGGAAATAACATATTTTCTAGACTAAATTTCACATAAAATGACAATATTTAGTTCTTTTTACACATAAACCGTTAAACTGTTAATTTCTGTATATATGCAATCACATTCTATATATTGAACGGTCTTAGATCAGATCAAAATGATTGGGAAATGGTCAGGAAATGGTCAGGTTGAATGGTCAGGAAATGGTCAGGAAATGGTCAGGAAATGGCCAGGTTAAATGGTCAGGAAATGGTCATGAGTACGGTCAGGATAATGGTTAGGAAAATGGTCAGGAATTGACCAGGGATTGCGATTACTCATCGATACTTAAAGTCATATTGTAACCGGACGGTGCAGCCGCACGCATCACAGGAGACGACAAGGGCACCAACAGCAGCGCTCCCGAGATGGACGAGGCGGACCCACGTCCAAATTAACATTAAGTACAGCGTTTGCGTTCCGAGGATGGGGTCACAGGCAGCAGCCGTTATCGATTTTTGTTTGTTTATTCTGATGACTTAGGAGTAAGGAGAGTGACCACATCCGGCGCATAAGTAGGCATAAGGTTGTTTAATTTTCAGTTACGCAGTTCCGAGCCCAATCCCGAAGGTGCGGATACAACAGTTCGTGCGACAGGGCTTGAGCCCGCTCACACTTGCGTGACAGGGGAAGCGCTCGCGCGAATGATCGGGACGCTTCCGGAGAGTATGACGTACGGGCTGTGACGACCCACGGGGCGGAAAGACGTCGTCTATCGAAATGGACAAACCGTCCGTAATTATAGTAATTAAGCGACACGCGCGTCAAATAAACAGTTCTGATTGGCAAGGTAGTTCCGCGAAGCACGACACGCGGGTCAGAATCAAAATCTGGCCAGAGATAAAAAAGATGGCGGACCGTCGGGAAACTTTTAAACCGACGGCACGGCGGTAAAAGAACACGTCCCTGATTAATGGGGAGATCCTTAAGAACGTCCATATCCGATCGCCGACAAAATCGGATAACCAGCGACCGAGTTACAGGACCGTCCGCCATCTCGCGACCTGGACATCTTCCGCGGGGAAAAACCGCGGAAGGCATTGTACCAGGTACCGGTTAGGCGTCAGGAGGGGTCGACGTCGTCGGCAGGCCTGGGGAATAACGCGACACGACCACCGGGAGGTCAAGTAGGTAACCAAGCGTCATCCACGGGGAAAGACCAGCGGGTCACGCTGAATGAGACCCGGTACACTCGGGGAACGGGTCGCCGCCAATGTCCGATCGCCCGGACGCGAGATACGGCGACATGTCGCCGGAACTCGGGAACCGGACGTCATCCACGGGGAACGAGCCCGGAATCGGGATAAGAGGGACCGCCGAAGAGGGACCAGGGGGTCGCCGTCGACGGCGGAGGTCGCGGTCGCGACGTAGACATCCTCTTCGAGGGGTCGACCCGGGGTCGCGTAAAGGGACAGAGGAGAGGTCGTGCGCACGGGTCGGCGTCGTCGTGGGTGGATAAATGTAGAAGTTGGAAAACCACTACCCGTGGTCCGTCTCCGGACGTCGAGTGAATGGTACTCCGAATGGAAATTTCCACCGCGGACTTGGTGGTCAGCGGGGAGCGGGCAACGTATATTGTAACTGCGTAGCGGCGAACATCTGGCGCACACCTGTCGACCTGAAAGTCGTAAACAACCATTGTTAACGCGGCGAGCGAAAAATTACCGCGAGGAGAAAGCGACCGAATACCCTGTGGTGGGGGAAAAGGCACCGTAGGTAGGGAGCCCGAGAGAGGAAGATTGCTCGAGGCAGTCTGTCGGGGATGTTCGAGCGTGTAACACGTAATCAACTTCGCTCTGTTTCGTCGCGCTAAGTCACCGCGATCGTCATACAAGTGCTATAATTACGGCTCGCCAACATTCGTAACAACCGGCAACGCCCGCGTACGTCATATTCTCCGGACGCGTCCCGATCATTCGCGCGAGCGCTTTCCCTGTCTCGCAAGTGTGAGCGGGCTCAAGCCCTGTCGCACCGCCGCACGAACTGCTGTCTCCGCACCTTCGGGATTAGACTCGGAACTGCGTAACTGAAAATTAAACAACCTTATGCCTACTCATGCGCCGGATGTGGTCACTCTCCTTACTCCTAAGTCGTCAGAATAAACAAACAAAAATCGATAGCGGCTGCTGCCTGTGACCCCATCCTCGGAACGCGAACGCTGTACTTAATGCTAATTTGGACGTGGCTCCGCCTCGTCCATCTCGGGAGCGCTGCTGTTGGTGCCCTTGTCGTCTCCTGTGATGCGTGCGGCTGCAATATCTCTTATATTAAGTGGCCCAGCTATTAGACAAACTGTCAGGCTTTGAAGATGGTTGTATTTTGGAGTGGATATACATTGACAATCTTAATTGTTAATAATTATACATACTGTTGCGCCCGTGCCGAGACACCCGTTGCGCGCTGAACTTCGTCCACGTGAACTTCGCTCGAATAGCTTCAAGTCGAAGCGCGGTCCTTAACGACGGAATTATTGATTTATTGATTACACATTGACTGGGGGATTTCGCTCTGGGTTTCCGATTCGTTCGGACGTGTCCACCCGAGCTCTTTGTTAAACGAGTTCCTATTAAACGAGTTCCTATTAAACGAGTTCCTTTCTAACATAAAGAGAGTCTTTATTCCTGGAAACGGGATTACGCGCCGCGTTCGCGAGTGAGTGTGTGAGTGAGCAGCGGACGCACGGATAAGCGTAACAATACTTTAATTAATTCTTTCTATATATTTCATGTTTTGTCACATAAAATCAGTTAATTCACATACTGAGTATCATGTTTCGATATCGAAGAATTTGAATATCATATTTTGGAAAATGACATATTTCTGGTTCAAATTTGCATTAATATCACCGAACAGCAAAATTTAAACATGATAGACGTAATATTTCTATGTATTTTACACTCTTTGATACTTATAATTGGTTTTTTCTTGTATGTTTAAGTCATATCTTAATATCAAATGGTCCAACTATCAGACCTTGAAAGATGATCATATCTTGGAGTGGACATATATTGGCAATGTTAATTATTAACAATTATACTTATTTTAACTAATTCTTTCTATATATTCCATGTTTTTGTTATATAAAGTCAGTTAATTCACATACTAAGTATCATGTTTCGATATAGAGGGATTTAGATATCATATTTTGAAAATGACATATTTGGGTGCGTTCAGATTCCTTACTCTGAGTAGAAATATTAACCCGATGCCGTTCAGATAGCATCCGAGTAAGTATTTTTTGACTCGATAGACTGCGTTCAGATCGCTGGGTTGAAGTAATCGAGTTAACTCTAGAGTCGATTTCTCAACCTACCATTTTTCATCGGTTAAGAAGTAACTCGGCGTGTTTCAGCGGCAAGTTTGAAATTGAGTGACGAGAGTGATTCAACATGAGTGACAATCAGATTAATGCTGTAGAAGCGGACCCGACTCGCCACGAATTGGTGAGGTCAGAAAATGGGGAGATTGTCCGTGCCGAGGGACACATTGTCGTGTTCGACAATATTGGTAAGTATATGATTCAAGTGTTGTGAACGGGAATTGCGAGGGAGAGGTTAGGTGTCGAACTAGCTCCTATTGGTTTTGTTGCAATAATCTTTCTCTGTTAACAGATAAAAATATGTACTGCGTTCTCGAAAATGAGAGAAATCTCCGGCTCTTCGGTCTCATACCAACTGCCTTACAATTTGATACAGGTTAGGTTATATATTATATGTATTGAATTTGGCTCATATAGGCCAGGTGATTCGTGACTGCTCCAATAGTTGAAAGGATTTACATTGTTTTTGTACGTTGCAGTTCCTGAAACGAGCATGTCATCATCAGAGACCTTAGGCTCACTTTCTGATAATACAGCATGCTTGACACTAGAAGCAGGATGTTCAAACCAGGCAACCAGTAAAGAAAAAGGTAGGTGTGGGTTGTTAAGTCAGTCAAATTGTATGCATAACAGTGTAGTACACTCTTGGTCTATGTCAATTTTAGTTAAGTGGACGAAGAATGCTGTTCTAGCACTAATTACATCCTGGAAAGCTAATCAGCCAAATTTTGCAAGCACTACTGTAAAGAACGATGCAGTATGGAATATGATTGCCCAGGACATAAAAAAAACAGGCTTAATAGTTACTGCCACTCAGACTGAAAATAAGTGGAAAAACATAAGGAAGGCGTACATGGCTGTTAAGGACCATAACTCTAAGTCTGGGAATGCTCCGAAGACGTGTAAATTCTATGATGAGTTGGATGAAATATTTTCAAAATCACCAAGTGTCGCACCTGTTGCTCTTGCCTCCTCAAGAAGAAAGAGATCAGCCTCTACAACTATAGGCAATGATTTTAGTAGTGATGATGAGACCTCTGAAGAGATGGAGGCTGACAGGCATTCTGAGAAGAAAAGTAAGAAGGCAAAGAAAAGCAAACTGAATAGAGAATTAGAGGCTTGGTCTAAGACCCTTCGCGAAGATGCGGAGAAAAGGGAATTAACAAAGGAAAAACGACATGAGGCAGTGATTGCTGTGCAGAATAAAGGAATTGCAGCGTTTACTGATGTTATGAATAAGCTTCTAGAGAAGCTATGAATCAGTTTACGCGAGCTTCTGTAGTAACTTACGATAATTCCTTTGCGTAAACGAGTGAATTATCGTAAATTACTACAGAAGTAACGCTCGCGTAAACGTAGTATGTGCCTTGTACTTACCTGAAAGTGCCAATTAATTTGTGATAATTTTATGTGTACATTTTGTACCTGATACATGTGATTGTCATTATCCAAAGATATTTTTAAGAATTGTCCTATAGTAAGGTAAGATACAAAGAGTATTATCAAATTTTAATATTAATATTATTTTTGTTTCCTGTTTAGATATAGGTACTGTCCTAATATCAATATCTTTAATTTAAAAAAGAGAGAAAGATTGTCTATAGTTTATTCTAATTTCTCTAGTCTGTTTAGAGTATAAAAGAAGTTAATTTTGCTTCTTAATTATTATATTTTTAGTTCTGTTGCGAAAATGCGTCTTTTTCTACTTATAACTGATGTTTATAGAAGGTGTTTGCAGAATAAAGAAATTTATGTTCATTTGTATATTATTTATTACAATCCTTGTTACAACTGTATTTATAGGTAAACAGTCGATCTGTCAATTATCTCTTACGAGAAGGGCCACAAGGTGAGCTCTCTTAGCTTCACCCTTTTGAAAGCGTATGTTGTTATTATCATCATCATCATTCTCCCGTTCTTGTTGCCTTACTACTTCAAGACCTTCCCCAATAAAATCATCAACATTATCTTCTTCTACTTGGTCCTCTTCTAGCCCATCCAGACAAATGTTGTGCAGCACACAACAAGCAAGAATAAAACTTGGAATTAAGTCCACCCTTTTCATATCTAAATGCTTCAGTCGTCGAAATCTTCCCTTCAGCAGTGCAAAAGAACGTTCAACGACTTGTCTTGACTGCGACAGTACTGTATTGAAACGCTTGTGTGCCTGAAAAAGAAAATTCACAATAGTTCAAAAGTACTGATAGGTACAGACAGTTCTGTTTAACAGACTCAAGATAAATTCTCAATGAAACTTACTCGTGTTAGGTGACCATTGTCAATGTAGGGAGGAATGCACCATGACAACACAGGGTATGCCTTGTCAGCTATGATGTATTCACCATTTGGGAAGAGAGCATTCACATTACGCTCTGCATCCAGAAACAAGTCAGAGTTCCGGAAAATGCGTCGATCACCCACTGAACCAGGGTAACCAGCAAAACAGTCAGTAAACCTCAGTTCTGAATCACACACTGCCTGAAGAACTACAGCATAATCTCTTTTCCTTGTCTTATAATGCAGTGAGTGTTCCTAGGGCACAAAACAGAAAAATATACCATATGAACAATACAGAAAGTATGATAATACATGTAATAAGATAAAAGATAAACCTTAGGAGCCTCAATGCTTATATTACAGCCATCAATCGCACCAATTACATCGGGCATATTGGAAAGACGCTGGAACTTTTGTTTCACAGAATCAAGATGATCTCCTGCTGGCCACTTAATGATATTTTTTGCCATGTCGTTGAGACCTGCAACAACGCGCTGGATGCTGGCATTCACAGATGACTTTGCGAGATTATGCTTCAGACCCACAGACCTGGTATAAGAACAGCACAATCAGCATTTATATTGAATATAAGCTGTTAGATTACTAAATTCATGCATTCAATTTTATATAAATACATTACCTGAAAGAATCTGGTGTTGCTAGCAGCCACAGCGAAGCAAGCAATTGCGTACGAACAGGGATGCAAGGTTTATTACCAGTATCTCCTGCCAAAATAGGGCCAAGACGATTTTCTAGCAGTGCAAATGTGCTAGGCAGCATTCGATAATTTTCACGGAACTGTTTTGTATTAAATCTTGGGACTGTGTTTTCCACATAACCTTCAATTCGCACAGCTTTCCTCGACGGGCCACGTAGCCTTAAATGGGCTTCCAATAAAAATGCCTCGGCTAACTCGTCCTCCTCGTCATCACTTTCCAGCGTTGCACTAAACAATAATGTGAACAGTTGTTTGCTCGCATAAATAGCCGTAAGAATGGCATTTCTTCGGCCATCCATAACTTATGTAAGCGGCAGAATGTGACGACTAAAATGTCAAGTAGATATAATAAGAAAACTATTCTAACTGTTTTATACCAAACTCTTACACTTATTTGTATACCTCCCGCCGCTTTATTTAACCCAAAAAGCGACTCGGACCGTTCAGAGCCACAGCCTTACTCAGAGTAAATTGTTCGGGTTAGAGTCGAAACTCTAGACAACTCAACCCCAGTCGTCGGGTTGGGAATCTGAACACACCCTTTCTGGTTCAAATTTGCATTAATATCACTGAACAGCAAAACTTAAACATGATAGACGTAATATTTCTATATATTTTACACTTTTTGATACTTATAATTGGTCTTTTCTTGTATGTTCAAGTCATATCTTAATATCATATGGTCCAACTACCAGACCTTGAAAGATGATCATATTTTGGAGTAAACATACATTTGTAATGTTAATTATTAGCAATTATACATACTTTAATTAATTCTTTCTATATATCTCATGTTTTTGTTGCATAAAATCAGTTAATTTACATACTAAGTATTATGTTT